GCAGGGAGCAGCTGGAGATGGCGCTGGGCCCGGCTCTCGTCCCTGTCTCAGTCCACCCTGCCCCGGGCACAAGTCAGCTCAGCACCCTGATCTGTGGCCCAGGCGAGTCTGATTCTGTGTCCCCGCCAGCCTCAGGGCCAGGTGATCGTTATGCAGGTTGGGCTTCTGGAGCAGCTGGGGAGCCCCCAGCTGGACACCTGTGCAGGGCTGGGGTACCGAGGGCTCTCCAGTCCCAGATGGCTGGGCTCTGGCACCCCTCCCCCCTGCACCCCATGCCCTTGGTCAGCCTGATGGTGAGGCCAGCACACCCACCGCAGGGCGCCTGGAGACCCCACCACAGATGCCTGCTCCGCTAAGCTGCCTGCACAACTGTGTGTGGGTGTGCATGTGTGTGTGCGTGTGCGCGTGTTTATGTGTGTGTGCATGTGTCTACATGCATGTGCGTGTGTGCATGCATGTGCATGCATGTGTGTGTGTCCATGTGGCTTGTCTTCACCTGTTCCTGTGGCCGTGCTGGTGTGGCATGCGTGTTGGCCTGGCCTGTCCCCGTGTGTGTGCGGTGTGTACATGGAGGGCCAGGGTGGGCAGCAGGGGGTGGAAAGATTTTCTCCCACATGCCAGTGCCCACTGCCCCCCCCACCGCCGCCCCTTCCTGCCCCACTTCCCCCCTCCCGGCCTCTCCCCAGCCGGCCTCTCGCACAGGAAATGGGGAGCTGGCTGGGCTGGGACGGTGGAGCTCCCCTTCCTTTTGTTTGTGTGTCTGTTTACTTATTTCCGTGTAGACAGTGGAGACCTTGGGAGGCCTGGGGGTCCTGTCCCCTGCCGGGACCCTAGGCAGGGCGAGATGGGGCGGGGGTGGGGGCAGGCAGGGATGCTTCTCTTCCTCCTGAGGAATGAAATGGTTTCTGGAAAATGCTGGTCTCTGGAGCTGGCTGAGGGCCTCCAGCCTGGGAGGCAGCGCTGAGTGATGGCTTCCAGATGGGGAAGGCGGTGCACACTACAGCACATGCATAGATAAACATGCCGCCACAATACAGCCCACAACCCCCACACCATCAAGCCAGACAGACATCTTCTTGGGAAATAGCCGATCCCCAGGCCCAGGGCCCTACGACCTCAGGACATGGCCGTGGGGTGTGGGGCTTCGGCATCTGTGTCCTGCCCGGCCCTCCAGCCTGACCCTGTGCCGTAGGCGCCCTCCTGGGCTCCGCGGCCTGCACTGCATGATTGGAGCGCGCAGTGGGCAGCCCCGGCGCCGGGCAGGGGTGGGACGAGCGGGTGCATCAGCCTCTCCTCTGCAAGAGCCTTTCCATCTTGCGGTAAGGGGGTCCACAGGCCAGGTGCATGCCGACCAGCACGCAGGCCGCCCTGCCGCCGCGAGCACGGGGGGAGAGGGACGTGGTCAAGCCTGGCCTCCGCGGGGCTGGCGCTGCCGCCCGCCTGTCGGGAGCCCCGCTGCCACTCTGCGATGACAAGCGAGGCCCTGTCGAATGGCTGTGCTGACAGGTGCCCAGCAGGGCCGGAGTGAGCCAGGACTGGCCGCTCGGAGGCCCTTGTCCCAAGGCTGGTAGAGGGCGGTCCCCAGGCCTGGCCGCACGGAAGCCTGGAGCCCAGACGGTGATGAGCAGAGACCCGACTCCCGCCTGTCGCCGGCCCGGTTCACCCCAAGCCCCTGCCTGAGGCACACCTGGGCTGGGCCCAGGTCCTCACCCCTTGAAGGTGAACCACCAGGAACGATCAGGTGGGAATCCCTGGGGCCGGAGCTGCAATGGGGGCAGTCGAAGGATGGGGCGAACGGGTCCCGGGATGCCCCTGGTGCGGCAGGGGGATGGGAGGAGTGGCGCTGAGCAGTCCCTCCGCGGCGGGCTTTCCGCGGTTCTAGTAAGCGCCGAAGGGGTGCCATGGCCTCGGGGCCTCCTCCTCCCATGCTGGTCCCTGTGTCAGGGGGACCCGAACATTGTAAGGCGGTCCGAAGAGGGAGCCAAGTCCATGGCCGGACTGGCCCTGGCTGCAGATCACCCATTTATGCGCTAAGGCATTAAAAATCGAATCGCCTTTCCAACATTTAACTTGTCACGGAACATTTCAAATGGTATTTCATAAAGACATGATTGGATTAGACTCCGTCTCCCAGATGCCTCAGGATCAACCCCCAGCAGGGACTCTCTGGGGTCCAGTCCCCGCGTGCCACACCCCACTGGACGGGGGTAACGTCTCCCCGTCCTGCCCAGGCGCTGTCCCCTCCACACCGCCACCCCTGCACCTGCCCGTTCTGGTCCCAGTGCTGCTGGCTCTCGCTGGCCAAACCAGGAACAAGGACCTCCCTGGGAGGAGACCGCAGGTTGTCGCGAATGCCCCTGGTGTCCCGGGCCAGGCATGGGGCGCAGGGGTGGTGGGAGCTGGCCTCACCACCCTCCCTTCTGCCTGCCTCTTCCGGGGCACGGCGGCTCAGTTCAGGGGCATCGGTTGACGCGGAGACCACAGGGCGGGCGGATGCAGCCTCCTGGGCCGGCAGCTGAGGGTCTGAGGCCCTTGCCCAGCTGCACAACCACAGCTGCGAGAGGAGGAGGCGGAAGAGGGACCATGGGGCCTCGCGGGCGCGAAGTCAGGGCTGCAAGTTGCCAGATGCTGGGTCACCAGCCTCCTTGTCTGGTAACAAGTGGGTCGGGCAGGAGGGCGCGGGGGTGCGGGTGCGAAAGGGGTGAGGGCTGGGGCTGGGGTGTCTCTGGGCCACCAGGCCCGGCACTGTGGATCATGCCCTCCTACACACACGCGCCGCCCCACTGTCCGGTGCCCCTGTGGGCCAGATGGGGCAGGGCCCCTGTGGCCATTTGGAACAGGGCACCCTGTGGGCAGCGTCTGTCCCCGAGGGCAGTGTTCGGGCCAGGAGCTGAGTTTAAGCACGCAGGTGCCGGCTGGTGAGCGGGTGGAGGGCTGCTGCCTGTGGGCCCCAGGCCTCCCGCCCTGCCCGGGAACTCTCCGCGCTCGGGGAGCGCCACTCCTCCCCTCGCGCTCTGTATGGAGAAGGGGCAGTGAGTGTGTGAGTGCATTGGCTTGTCATGTGTCTGTGCACGTGTCGTGCGCGCGTGTGTGTGGGTGGGTGGCGGGGTGGAGGCCTCCTCGGGAACCACCCAGAAACACCAGAAAAACACCCTGCAGCGGAGCCTGCCGCACGAGACCAGGAGGCCTGCGAGGCAGGCTGGCTGGGATCCCGGAGGGCCCAGACGCTGACCCCTCAGCCTCGCCTCCCGCCCCTGCGTCGGCTGGCCCTGAGTGCTGCCCCGCCGCAAGCTGGCTGGCCCTGTCTGGTGGCCACCGTGGCGGCTCTCACCTACTTTGGGGCCCTTGGCTGCATCCCGACCGCGCAACTTGGAGAGGAACCCGTACGAGACGTCGGCACCGCTGGGGTAGGTGAGGTCCGGCCGGCCGCCTCGGGGCGGCTGGGGGGGCCCCTGGGGGTGCAGCCGGGCCTTGGGCAGCAACCCGGGAACGGTTGGGACAGGGACGGCCTGCCTGGAGTCCTGGCTCCACTGGGCACAGCCCGGGGGCCCGGTTCTGTCCTCCTGACCGGGGTCTCTGCCCCACAACGGCGGTGGGCAACAGGGAGGTGTGTCCAGCAGGGTCTCCGGTCGAGGCCGGGCCTGGGGCCAGGCTCAGGGTCTGCGGAAAGGGCTGACTCCCACCGAGCACCTGGGCTGCTGGGCTCAGCGAGGGTGGAGGGTGCTGGGGAGGCCCAGGGCCTGCGGGAGGGCTGCTTGGGCAGGAGCAAGGAGGCCTCATTAGGGGAGGGGGTGTGGAGCCAGCGGGCCTCCAGGCAGGAGCTCAGGGGGTCTGGTGGGGGGGAGTGGGCAGCCCAGGAGGTGGGGACGCCTCAGGGGTCTA